AAAACATATCTCTCGGGCTCTAATATATATATATATATATATATATATATATATATATATATAATTTTTGTCTTGTTTTTTTATTGTTTATTATTTTTTACATTTTATTCTGTTTTTTTTATTGTTTTGTTTGATTTATTTTTCAGGTGGACCTGGTGAATATCGGAGGGACTGATATTGTCGATGGGAATCATAAGCTTACTCTCGGACTCATCTGGAGTATCATACTGCACTGGCAGGTCAGAAAACACCCACAAAGCTCTTAAATCTGGATTCTTTATGTGCAAACCTATTTCTGAGACATTTTTCAAAGACTTGAGATGTACTGTATGTATATGGGTTTTGCTACTTTTGAGGTTCAAATGTCAAAAGCAAAAATGACAAAAACCTGTGAGGACATTTGATGTGCTTTCACATGTGCTGTTTATCTTTAAATGAAGTCGGATGTCCTCACTAACATAATCTAACATTCATCTGTGTGTGTGTGTGTGCAGGTTAAGGACGTCATGAAAGATGTGATGTCCAGTCTTCAGCAGACCAACAGTGAGAAGATTTTGCTGAGCTGGGTGAGAAACTGCACCCGCAACTATAGCAGCATTCACTCACACTCACTCGTAGTGGCTGTCAGTGCGCTCTCTAGGGAACGGCTCCAGAGTGTATCTTTATTAACTTATGTAAGCAATGTAAAATGTTTGTGGATGAAGAGAACAAGTTGGTAGGTCCTGATGTAATCCAGACTTTTTCAGCATTTTCTGTTCTGGTTTAGTGGGAAAATCTGCATAATAAGTTTAAACAAAGTGTGTTAAACAGAGGTTGGTACTACACCCTTATTGACACCTGAAGAGTTGTCAGATCAGCAAATATTTAATAACCAAACACGCAAGGGTGTGTAGCCATGAATGACAGAAGTTTGCAGATGTAGATTCATGTGGACCTGCTTGAATGTCTTCAAGAGCTCGTAGATCTGTGGGCTTCATCCACAACACAGCAGAAATGTGGTTGTCAATCCTAAAATCGGTTCTGTTCACACATAGTTTGGTTTCGAAAGAGAGTCAAAAGTGCATTCTGTAATTAAAGTGATTACCTAATATTTAGAAGTGAGTGTTCGATTGAACCTTTGCTCATGTCAGCTCTCATTGACGGTGAATGACTTCAGGTTAGTTTGTTGCTGCATGTGTGAATGGTCTTTTTGGGAAGTGTGGGGAAGTCGTGGCCTAATGGTTAGAGAGTTGGACTCGTAACCCAAAGGTTGCGAGTTCGAGTCTCGTACCGGCAGGGATTGTAGGTGGGGGGAGTGAATGTACAGCGTTCTCTTCCACCTTCAATACCACGACTGAGGTGCCCTTGAGCAAGGCACCGAACCCCCAACAAAAATGGCTGCCCACTGCTCCGGGTGTGTGTTCACGGTGTGTGTGTGTTCACTGCTGTGTGTGTGCACTTTGGATGGGTTAAATGCAGAGCACTAATTCCAAGTATGGGTCACATGTCACGTCACTCACACACTCACTTTAGACTCTTGTTGTGAATTGTGTTTCAGGCCTAATGGGTTCAGCTGGGAGGAAGTAGTTCATCTAACCCCTGTGGAGAGGCTGGACCATGCTTTCACATTTGCCAAAGATCAGCTCAACATTGAGAGACTACTGGATGTGGAAGGTAAAGAAGCATTGTGGCACTACAACTGCTCCAAAAAAAAAAATCCAGCTGTTTAAATAGATATTCACGCGCAATAGGGTGAAAGATTTCCCATACAGATTTTGCAGCCTTGGTGAAGTTGGTCATGTGGATTCACTGCAGTGACCAGCTGAAAGCTACATGGTTTGAAAGTGACTTCTGCGTGAGCTGTGCTTCATTCATTGCTACACTATTGCCAGTGGACAATAGGGCTGCACGATTTGGGGGATAAAACAAATTGTTTCTTATTTAAAAAAAAAAAAGAAAATGCAAATGCGATGCGTTTTTTGTGCTTTTTTTGAAGGGCTGCATGATTTGGCCAAATTTTTGTTAGATTATCTATATGGCTATTCAAATAATAATAATAATAATA